CACGGGGATTGGTTGGTGTGCTAAAAAGCGGAGGCAAACTTGCCCGAAAAGGCAAGTCTTCCTTATCGGGTAACAGACACCTTGGGAAGTGCCGAAAATTGCTGTGGCAGTGGGGTCCCATTTCGCTTGCCCATTCCCGTCGGCTACGATTTGTGCTGGCGGATGCTTTCCTGGCCGCCAGCTACCGCCAGCCAGTGGGGTCCCCGCCTAAGTGTTGTAATCAATTTCATAATTGGAGCCTTGGGCACTGGGCCCTTTCGTTAAAAAAAAAAAAAAAAAAAAAAAAAAGAATGAGTATTATAAGAGTCTGTAGATAGTATAAAAAAAGAAGAAGAAAAAAAAAAAGTCTGTAGATAGTTGAAGGTCACCCTGGAAACAACAACGGACCACACGCAAAGGGCACAACAACTTGCTGTGTTTCATGACATATGGCTCAACCCGGGAAGACTGATAGGGGAACTGCAACTCGACCACCACCTGCAATGGAAACAATGATGGTGGGGGGAGCATTGGTGGCAAGGATGGCCCCTGACCTCCTTTGCCTGCCCGTTGCCAAGACGGCCTCTCACACACAGTGTGCCCCTATGCATCATTCAGTCGGACGACACCTTTCACCTGTCGCTTCTCATGTGTGTCCATCTCCTCTCTCTCTCTCTCTCTCTCTCTCTCTCTCTCTCTCTCTCTCTCTCCCTTGTCTGCAAACAATGACTCACAGCCCCTATGCGAGCCAACTTGGGGGCGAAACAAAACACAGACAATGGACTCCCCTCACCTAGCCCCCCCACCATCTCCACTCCCCCCTTCCTCCCCTCCCCCCCCCCTCGTATCAGCCCCCTTCCCCCACTGTAGCGGTACCCCTGCGGCCCTACAGTGAGGCCGGCCCAGTTCCAGGCCGTCGGCCTGATCCTGGATCGGTACCAGGTATTTCCATACGTGGACCTAGGCCGGTACATGACTTCGGCCTAGGCCCAGGTCGGGAGGCTGGTTCATCTCCGCAGGTGCCCCCTGCAGGTGCGACACATTGGTATCAGAGCAGGAAGAGCTCCAACCTGCTCCCTCCCACCCAACCCATATGCCACGTGGCCTCCCACCATCTGCCACGTGTCCGTCCGTATCTGCATGACTGTGAAGACGTGCAGATCCCCAAGACAGCACCTTGGCTTGATGCCCCTCAGCTCCATCGGCCCCTTCCATATGGTTGCTACCTGACGTCAGTTGCCCAGTTCGCCCTTCAGCAATTCTTCCTCGAACGGGTGGCCATCCTCCATCTTCATCGACAACCTCTATCGAGGTCTCCAGCACACCACGTCATCGTCTTCAGCGACCGCTTCGTCATCTTGGACCAGTTGCTCTCCAACCTCCTGCGGATGCCATCCCCGTCGAAGCCACCATCGGCGTACAGACCTGGCCAATCCAAGCCTGCCATTGCATTCTTCTATGTGAATCATTGAATGTACCCGGGCCTCCCGTCGACCAAGTGCATTTCAGCCATCCTTTCCCCACTCGACCTTCCGTTTTCCGCCACCCCCATTCGAGCTATCTACCCAATAGCGCCCTCTTCCCCACCCCATCTCCCACCCCGACCTCTGCAACATTGACTCGCTACGCCAGTTTGTGATCTCGCCACCTCCTTCCCTCTTTTTTTCCCGCCATCGCTTTATTCCCCCTCCTCCCCCGACCTTCTCCCCGAAACGTTTTTCCCGCTTCACTTCACTCAAGCTTCTCCCCTCATCGGGCACTTCCTCTGCAGCGCTCGTTCCCCCCTCCTTCAGACTCGTTTACCCTCGGTGCTGCTCTGCCCGATACTTGTCCCTCCAGGGCTCCGTTCACCCACGCCCTCAGCCCCCACCCCCCCTGCTTTCACCCTGCCCCAACGCCCAACCGTCTTCCCCAACCCCGACTCCAATCCTGATCCCGTCTCCCGCCACCGTGATTCCGGTTCCCCCTTCCTCCCCAACCGCGGCGTGCTATCCCTCCCAATTTCGATCCCGCTATCTACCCCTCTCGATCCCAACCCTGACTCTCCCGTCCCAACTGGCTTCCCCGATCCTGTTTCCTCTCCGCCAGCACTCCATCTCCCGATTCCTTTCCCACCCGACTCATCGCTTCCGCCCTCCTCCCGCTGGTCCACGCCCCCTCTCTCGCCCCCCCCGACGCAGCTTTCTACGCGCACGTGCATGTGGTCCCCGGCTCCCCCATCCGGTGCGCACGTGCACGTGCACCTTCCCGTCATTTTCCCCCTGAACTGGAACCCGACACTTCGCCATCTCCCTCTTGCTCGTGCACCATTCCCGACCCTCTCTCCCATCGCGCTCATTCCCCGCTCACGCCCCCCTTTCCCGGCTCATGACCCCCTTTCCCCCCGATTATCCCTGACCACACTCCGTGTCCTGCCTCCTCGTTCGCACCACACCCCTGTACGTGTGCTCATCCCACAGCCTCCCCGCTTGATTCCCCCTTCCCCGATTATCTTCCCCCCCCGTTCCCTCAACCTCCCACCATTGGAGCGCACCTCCCCCCCTCCCAATTCTGCACCGATCCCCTAGGTCCCCTCGCTCCTCTTTCGGAATCCCCGCCATCCTCTCTCATCATCTCGCTTCCGCCTCCCTCCCACTCGATCTTGAAGCACACGTCTTCCCCTTTACCCCCCCTTATTCCATTCGTGTCCGCCCTTGATCCGTTTCGACGGCCAGGTGCATCACAGGATGGCTATGCACCGGGCTCGCTACGTTAACCAGGTGCCTTCCTCCCAGCCTCCCTCTCCAGTCTGACCGCACTCACCTTCCCCACTTCCCAAACCATCTTTTCTCCTTACCTCCAAACCTTTCCCCCGATCAAACCCGATTCCCCACTACCTCCATTCCCATTCTTCGCCCTCTGGATCCCCTCCCCTCCTCAGCGTGACGCCTTCATCGCTCCTGCTTCCGCTTCCGCTTCCCGCCCCGCCTGCCTCCAACTCCGACTTCGCGCCTCTCCTACCCACCTTGGCCTGCTCACTTCTGCCCATCTCCCACACACCCGCACAGCACCCTTATGACCCAACCCTCCTCCCATCGAGTCCCGCTCCCATTCCCGATTTGGTCTTCCTCTCCCTCCGATTCCCCCCACTTGCTTCCCGCTCTCAACCGTTCCTGATCCCTTCCCTGATCCACACATCTACGTCAGCAAGAGCGGAATTCGGCGGGATCGGCACAATTCGTGTGAAGCAAACAGGCAAACGCTCATTTGATTTTGATTTTTGGTACGAATACAAACGGTGGAAGCATGGCCTCTCCATCCCGGACTTGAAGCTCAAGGTGTCAGAAAAGTTATCACCGGGATAACTTGTTGGCCGTCTTGAAGCTCAAGGTGTCAGAAAAGTTATCACCGGGATAACTTGTTGGCGACGGCCAAGCATTCATAGCGACATTGCTTTTTGAACCTTCGATGTCGCCTTTTCCTATCATTGTGGGGCATAATTCATCAAGTGATGGATTGTTCACCCGTTAGCAAGCCGAGCACTTCGCAACCAGCTCATCATAGGCGTGCGGTCCTTGATGCCGACACTCCACCCAAGCAACGTGCTTGAATGGATTAACGAGATTCCACTGCCCCTACCTAATTGGCCATGATGGGGAAGCAGTGTTAACATCTCGCCGCAACCTCATCAAGTGAGCTTCATCATCATCATCATCATCGGCATCACCATTATTACTCGTGCTCTTCATCACCACACGCGGTTTCAGGTTATGAATCCCGCGCGGTCATAACCGCGAGGTCAAACTCAACGCGCCGTCGGGAAATTATCATATTCAAAACAAAAGTAAATCCCCACGGTCATGACCGCGGGGTAGCACTCGGCACGTGGTTTCAGGCCATGGCCAGAGCGGTTGGGTGCGGCCGAGAAATTGTCATATTTAGAAATATATATATAGGGTTGTAGGGTTTGAAAAGCCCTACAACCCTATATTTGTTTTGTTGGATTTCAACGTCTTTTGTTATTTTAAAAAAATAGAAAATGAAAACAAGCACAATTATAACAAAAAGAAAAGTAATAAAAATTGGATTTTTTTTTTCATTTTTTTGTGATTACGGGTGGGACAAACATGTTGCACATGTTTTTTTCTTTTTTCCTTTTTTTTTCTTTTTCCTTTTTTTTTTTCTTTTTGACACATACACATACTGATCGACTGATTGATTGATTGATTGATTGATTGATTGACTGTGATTGGTTGGTTGATTGATTGATTGACTGTGACGACATCAATCAATCAAAAAAAAAAAAAAGTGTTCGACCTGTGTGTGTGTGTGTGTGTGTGTGTGTGTGTGTGTGTGTGTGTGTGTGTGTGTG